TACTATTTTTATTTCATTATTTTACTTATATTTATTTATTTAATTTATTTTATTTATTTATTGTTTTATTATTTTTATTCTATGTGTATGAGTTATTGTATGCATGTGTATGTAAATGCACTTGTATTGTGCAATGCCCAGAGGTCAGAAAAAGGTGTCTGATCCCCTGGAACTGGAGTTACAGATGGCTGTTGTGATGTGGGTGCTGGGAATTGAACCTGGGTCCCTTGCAAGAGCAGTCAGTGCTCTTAACCTCTTGAGTCATCTCTCCAGTCCCTAGCCTGTAATTTTCAATCACACTCTCACATCTCCTGTAGGAAGTTCAACGGGACATGCCTGTAATCCCAGCACTTGGGAGACTGAGGCAGAAGGATCAGAAACTCAAAGTCAGACCTCAGTCACAGGGTGAGGGTTTTTGTTTTTTTTTTTTTGTCTTTTTGAGACAGGGTCTCCCTGTAGCCTCAGCTGTCCTGGAATTCACTATGTAGACCATGGTGGCCTTGAACTCACAGAGATCTGCCTGCCTCTGCCTCCCAAGTGTTGGGACTACAGGCCTGTGCCAACACGCCCAGCCAGGGTGATTTTTAAGTCAGCCAAGGCAACATGAGATTCCGCCTTAAAAAAACGAAATTGATTCATCCTCCGATCTCGCCCGCCTTTTCTCCTCCTAGCCTGGGTCCTCCTGTCCCATTCCTTGTCTTGGTGCCTCAGACACCTGGGGAACCATCACTGCTTCCTGATCCTTTGCATCCAGCCCAACCCAGTTCCTTCTCTGGTGGCCAGGAGAACTCTTGGCCTGGCTCCGCCCTCACCTCCCTCTACTTCCCAGGGTCCACGCGACCCGCCAGCCTCTTCACTGGACACCTGGGCAGACCTTTCCTCTTCCCGATCCTTTGCATCCAGACCAACCCAGTTCCTCAGTGCAGTCCCCAGGAGCCCTTGGAGCCGCTTCCCACCCCTATCTTCCTTTGCATCTCTGGGTGGCATGGCCACCAGCTGTCCTACACCAGCATCTTTCCTGGGCCAGGCTCCCAGGCCAGTCCAACCCCCAAATTCCTGAGGCCAAAATCTTTCCTGGAGGAATTCAGACATTAGGAGAAAGCCTGAGAACATCTGATCCTCATCTGACTTGGGCCTCTGTGGGAACTCCTGAAGACAAAAGCAATCCGGCCACGCCAATATAAAATGAAAAGAGAGAACCAGAAGCTTAGACAAACCAGCTTTTCATGCCCCAAAAGTAAACCACAAAAACACATAAAGTTCACAAAAACAAGCAGACCGAAACTTGAAGGCTGAAAACCCAAATAATATGCCCCCACCAAGTACCAACACTCCTGTAGAGGAGTACAATGAGAAGACCCTAGAGATAACACAGGACAAGGAATTCAAAAGGGATATTATAAACATGATAAAAGAATTCAGTAAATTTAAAACACACACACACAAAAGAAATCAAAGAACTGAAGGAAGATAGGGATAAACTTCTGAATGAATTCAGAAAAAAGTTAGAAATACTGAAGAATACTCAGGCTGAAATGAAGAAGGAAGTGAAACACTCAGTAAGCCAATTAGAAACCACAGGAGAAAGCCTCACCAATAGGATGAATGAAACTGAAAACAGAGTATCAAGAATGGAAGATAAAGTGGATAAACTAGACCACTCAAGCAAAGATTATGAAAAATTTAAGAAATCACAAGAATGGAAT